AGTACCCCAAGGTGCAGTGTTTTCCCTGATGTTATTTGACATCTACATGTGCCCCCTTGCCCAGATTGCATGGAGTCATGGGCTGGGTTGTCACTAATATGCAGATGACACTATCTGTTGTTGGGCAGCCAGTCTGGCACTAGTCCGGAAGGTCTGGACCTGGCATTGAAAGCTGTGGCCGGTTGGCTTAGATTGAGTCGACTGAAATTGAATCTGATCAAGATAGAGGTTCTGTGCCTGAGTTGGAGTGGCCCGAGGGTAGGGATCCCACTCCCGACTTCCGATGGGGTGCTGTTGGTGCCAGTGCTGGAGGTTAGGAGCTTGGGAGTGCTCCTAGATGCCTCCTTAATGAAGGAGGCCCAGGTAGTAGCCACTGCAAAGTCAGCCTTCTATCATCTTTGGCTGATTAGGCAGTTGGTCCCCTTCCTCGAACGCAATGACCTGGCAACAGTGATCCATGCAATGGTCACCTTGAGACTGGATTACTGTAATGTTCTCTACATGGGGCTGCCCTTGTCCCAAATCCAGAAGCTGCAGGTGGTGCAGAATGTGGTGGCTAGGCTGTTGTTGGACCTCCCTATGCGGGAGCACATCCAACCTGCGCTTTAAGCACTGCACTGGCTGCCTATAGCATACTGAATTTGGTTCAAGGTGCTGGTTCTTACCTTTAAAGCCCTATATGATCAGGGACCTACATACCTAAGGGACTGCCTTTCCCCACATGTTCCCCAGAGAGCACTACAATCAGGGTCCCAAAACCGCCTGGTCTTGCTGGGCCCCAGAGAAGCCAGGCTGGCTGTGACTAGGGCCAGGACCTTCTCAGTGGCAGCTCCATAATGATGGAATGGGCTCCCAGAAGACATCAGGGCCCTGCGAGACCTTTTACAGTTCTGCAGGGCCTGCAAGATGGAGCTCTTCCACCAGGCCTTCAACTAAGGAGCTGCACTATGCAACTGAGGCGCTGGCCCCAATATTAACATCAATACCAACATCAACATCAATAGTATTATTAACAGCTGATATATCCCAGACTACGATGGGAACTGACTGCCTGGTTGTTGGATGCTGTTCATGCCGCCATTGCATATGAATCATCTTAGCACTAGCACTTTGTAATGCTTTATACTTATATTGTGATTTTATCTAAATTTTGTTTTAGCTGTGGAATATCCTATGTAAGCTGCCCTGAGCCTGCTACGGCGTGAAGGGAGGGGTAGAAATTAATTAAACAAAGATACAGAAGAATAGAAATATATAGTAACAGCTTGGCCTAACATAATTATCTAGGCTCTGTATCTAGATTTGTGGTTCTTAAGAAATATATGCATCTTTCTGTAGGAAAAGTGAGAAGCTGGGGGGGGGGTAGCCATGAATGCAGTTAGACAATTGATTTGTCACAGTATTTCCAAAATAGGAGATGTTCTCACTTGCTCTCTCCCCCCCCCCATCCCCCAGACTGAGGGAACTCATTTTATAGTGTTACTAATTCTATATTGTCACTTCTATCTTATAAAACAATTTTGAGATTCTGTGTCCTTTATTTCTTCCCCCCCCCAATATGTATATGAATTTAAAACTTTTAAATAAAAATAAAAAGTCATACAGCTGACATATACAAAATCAACATCAGCAAAAGCAGCTGTTTCACCACAGAACTGGGTTCCATTCAAATATAACACTTTTGGAACAGAAAGGGCAGTATCTTTAATTCCAGGCTCAGTGGCTCAAGTTATCAGTGTGGTGTGGTGTCGAGAACAAAGCCAATTCGGAGCATTGCTACAATTCTCGCAAAAATATAAGGCACGTTTTTCTACTTACAACAGGAAAGGGGAAGAACCATGGCAGAAAGGTTAAAAGGGTACTCCTTCACAGCCACCCAAGAATTTGTCCATTAAAAAAATGCATTCACACACAGAGCTCAAAAACTTTCCAAGTGAGTTCCAAACATTAATCATAAAACCATAAACTGGTTTCCGGGAGAAATACTTTCTAACTCCCGCTCTGCTACGGAAGATCACTAGGAGATCTCAAGACAATCACTCCCTTTCAGCCTAGCCTACTTCACAGGGATGTTGTTGTGAGGATAAAGAGGAGGAGAGAAGAACAATGCTGATAGTCAGTTTGGGTTCCCATCGGGGAGAAAAGCAGGGTATAAACAAATAAAAATAATGTAACAATTCTGCAGTCATTAGTGGGTGAGAGAAGGAAACGGCAAACAATAACTTCTACCTGTTTTAACCAACTATACACCTCTTCCTCCCTTTCAAGCACAGGAATAGGAAACCCCCTTCTACAACTTCTCCTAAACTTCAACCCTCTAGACAAGTATTTCTCAAACTGTGTGAAATGGCCATGAAATACAGGCTGTTGCTCAGCATGCTGTGTGGTTATAAATGTTAAACAAAACAAAAAAATCTACACTGCTTTATTGTTAATCGCTGCAGTATTCTTGCATTTTATGCTGGGTGGACAAAGCAGCACAGAGTTACTTTGCAAGTGGGTCCTGAAAAGTAAAGTTTAGAAGCATGTGTTCTGCTTCCCAAGAAGTCAGAGAACCACTTCTCTAGGCATTTGACAGTGCTATTCTTCCCAAGGGACCAAATTTTACCAAACGCAAGAAGCTGCTTGGAAAAAGGGGACACATTAGCTTAATATCTCATTAATTCAACTGCAAAATGAGCACAACAACCCACCTTCCACAACTGGATAGCAGCTGCCAATCCTCTTCTGCAGGCGAATTCTCCAAGTAACTTTATCCTGCACAATGTCCCTTAGTGTCTGACAGACCAAAGGAAGGACACTCAAGACAAACCTGGCCTGCAAGTAGGAACAGATCTCCAAGATCAGCTCTAGAGGAAGAGACAACAGTCCCGAAACTGTGTCATCACTAACTGGAGACTTTTTTAGGTCTAGGAGAGGTGACCTGCACTCAGACACTTGGGCCAGCCCACCTACTGAGAGAGACTCTGGGGGCAGACACTGCGATGCCTGAGCAGACTGGCTTGAAGGACCAAGAACACGTGCAAAGTACTCTTGAGCCTGGGCATCTGGATCAGTTTTGGTCTCTGTATCAGAGTCATTGTCAGAGACTTGATGTGCAACAGAACAATCTGGATCAGCATCCATGGCTATGTGGGGAACAGAAATAGAGAGTTAAGAGCAACAACCTCTAGAACTGAGATAACATGCAGTTTTACCACCAGTACATTTTTCACATTTCTTCTTCAGGGCAACAGACAAGCTGTGTTTTATACCAAAGTGTTTTGTGTGGGGTCCTATGCTAATCTAGAGAAAGGGTTTCCCCCCCTCACAATAAGGTTATCTTAGTCTCATACATACAGCAATAGGTTGGAAGCCAGTGTGGTGTAGTGGTTAAGAGTGATGGACTCTAATCTGGAGAATGGGTTTGATTCCCTATTCTTCCACATGAAGCCAGCTGGGTGACCTTGAGTCAGTCCCAGTTCTCTCAGAACTCTCTCAGCCCCACCTACCTCACAGGGTGTCTGTTGTGGGGAGAGGAAGGGCAGGCAATTGTAAGCCACTCTGAGAATCCTTTGGTTAGTGAAGAGTAGGGTATAAAAACCAACTCTTCTTCTTTTTAACTTATCAAAGCTTCCTAAGACAAAATCTTAGCCCTGACCTGGATAGCCCAGGCAAGCCCGATCCTGTCAGATCTTGGAAGGTAAGCAGGGCCAGCCCTGGCTAGTATTTGAAAAGGAAACTTCCAAGGAATAGCAGGATCCTGACACAGAGGCAGGAGATGGCAAGCCACCTCTGAACATCCCATGCCTTCAAGCCCCACTAGGAGTCATCAGAAGTCAGTATGACTTGATGGCAAAAAAAGAGCTTCCTACAGCAAAACCTTAAAGAATCCTGGAAGAAACAAGTGGACTGGAAGACAGAATTCTCACATTAAACAACACTTAAAAATTCATGTTACTGAGCAACATCATAACCCTCAGTAGGTGCATTCATTTCACAGTAGCAGGCACCCCTTCTTCATTGTTGTAGCAAAGATCTTAAAAGCACTCCAGTTCCCAAAACTCTATGCAAAATCCAGTCTTCAAGATTAAAAAAAGCTGGCCAAGGACTGAGTGGAGAGAAGGGAAAACTCTTTTTGCAGTTCAGCAGCACCTCTGGAGCCTCCCCCTCACCCAACCCTTGTAATCCCATCATCTCCACCCCCCATCATCATACAAGAGGCTGACAGTTCGAACAGAAGAATGACTGGAAGCATTGTATGGGTGTAATGTCAAGCCCCCCTTTTCAAGTAGGGGCGGACTGGGAGTCAAAATGACCCATCCTGCCACCAAGCCCCCTTCACCTGATAAGAGGACCAAAGAACGGTGGAGAAAAAACAGCTCTACCATTCTTCTCCTCGCTGGTCGCACTGCGGGCACTTTAGAACAAACTAGACCAGCAGGGCAAACCCAGATGTCAGCACTCTCCTCCTCGCTAACACCACCACGGGACGAGCACTCTGGGATAGGCCAGACCAGCAGGGTACATCTAGACCGGGCACCACCCTGCTCTTCCTTGACAACGGCAGGTGGTGGAGGCGGAAGAATGCACCAGGGCTGTGTAACCCCGCTATGGGGCAGGAAAGGAGCGCGGCGGCTATATCCTGCGAAGAGAAGGGGGAAATCTTCCAGGCAGCACGGACAGCCACCCCGAATGACCGACCTTTCTACCCTGCGATCGCGGTGGGCCACCGTCCCTCTCTCACTCCGGGCCAAGGTGCCACCGCCCCGCCCCCTCAGATTCGGAACCGGAGCACCAGACTCCAGCCAGCTAGGGCGCGTCCCATCACCAAGGAGAAACCACTTCCGGCGTGTAGCGATGACGTGTACAGCAAACGCGCCCACCATCGGAAGCATTGCATGCGTTCTCTGGAAGCTCTTCCGGGGAAGTTGCGGGCCTCGGACTGGCAACTGGAGCCGTGTTTAAGCGGGTCCAGAGTGCTGAAATCACGAAATTTACGCTCTAAATAAGCCGCGCAAAGTTGTTGTAAGAGCGATTAGAATTGATGCAGTTTTCCATCTCCGTCCCGGAGGAAACTGTCTAGAAAGTGTTATTTTGTTGTTGTTCAGTTGCACAGTCGAGTCCGACTCTTCGCGACCCCATGGACCAGATCCCGCCAGGCCTTCCGCCGTCCTCTGAAGTTGGCTCAAAGTCATGTTCGTTGCATCGATGACACTGTCTAACCATCTCATCCTTTGCCGTCCCCGTCTTCTTTGACCTTCAATCTTTCCCAGCATCAGGGTCTTCTTCAGTGATTGCTCCCTTCTCTCTTTGTACTCTGCCACTGACTAACAGGTTTAACTTAATAGGTGCACTTAGCACTTCCATGGTGCATATGTTAAGTGCCATTGATGATTCTAACAGCATGAATGTTTTCAGGTATTAACTTTGGTTCATTTGCGACTGTTGTTGGATGCATGCTGGGAAGGTAAAATGCTGAAGTTTGTGACCTTGCTTGTTATGGCCAGCTGTAACTGCGCATGTCCATGATGTCAGTTAGCTTGCTTTTAGATGGAAACCATACTACATGAGGTACCCATATCTGTTACATTAGATACTTTTTAATCACTTCATAGCCTGGGAAGAAGGCCCATTGTTCAACTGAAGGAGGTATATTTTTGCCTGAGAAAGTCCAACCTACAGGCCTGGGCCCAATCAGAATGGTGTGACGGATGTATGACAAAGTTTGATGGAACCAATAGTTATGATTTATTTCTGTCACAGGGGGTATAAAACTTTATGTCTCCCATTGTAACCTTAGGGAGAGCTGTGGGATCCAAAACCTTATTGGATCTGCACCTTCCTCCTTTGTTGATCAATAAAGTACAAGATCTGATTCTGCTCTACAGAATTGTACTGAGTGTTTTCTCAAATTGGGCTGGGAAAACACACACACACTCAGACAGGATTATTTTCTGTACATCAAAAGTTCGAAGTCTGTTCCTTTGCGGAGATGTGGCACAGTTAAGTCTGCATAAATCCAGGGATCATACAGAAGCTGAGGAAGCTTGGTGCAGATGCTACTTTTTGAAATTGTACGCTCTCTTTATTAGATATAGGGAGAATCAGACAACAGCGTTCTGCCACTGGCCACAGCAAATACTTTGATGTAACCATTAAACAGACTGGGAAGCAACAGTACATTGAATATGTGGCAATCTCATGAGCTGTGCAAGGTTTCAAGTTCCTCTAAAAAAAGAAGTTTATTAAATAATTGCAGTGATTCCTTAGCAGAAGGGCTACGATTTTAGCTAAACTGAAGGAGGTGCTTGTATACATTAAAGAGAAGCATAAACATGGTGACTGGTTTGTAGAAGACCAGATATCTAACAATGGAACTTCTATGGTAGACTTTAGATAAAGCTATATTGGAGTGCTTGAAGCTACTATAGACCTATCCAGGTTGCTCATCTATTCTTACTAGCTATAACTCTCTAGTTTTTTACAAAGGCCTCCAACACATAGTTTGCTACACAATTTAACTGGAGATCAAGGAGATGTAGGTCAGCCTTTTGTATTAAAGCTGGTACTTTTCTACCTCCTATAGCTTAAATAGCTTCCCCTACAAAGTGAAGACTAACCACCTCCACTGAAAGTTTAGTAAAAACTGAATGTTTAGGATTATGTGGAACTCAGAAAATATTCACTTAGGACACACTGCAAATAAAAATGGAAACTAGACTCACAAGAAATTGTTTTTAGTTGACAAAAAATTATACATAAAATGAGAAAAATCTCATCTGAGCAAGGTGCAAGCAGCTGCTTCAACACTAGGTACACTGCAGTTCCACCATTGGAAACATTACGGCACATTTACAAATATACAAATCCAGGAGTAACGAACAGGAGGCAAAACTAGAAGCACTTGAAAAAAAAAGACAAATTCCATTTCAAGAGGCAGTCATGTAGAGTAGCTTAAACTTCACTAGATGAATGAAGAGTTCACAGCCTTCTTTCTGTATTCCTGGGCATGTACTTTAGAAGCACAAAGTTGGGACACCATCTACTTACTATCTGTGCACATTTCTTGCCCATGCATTAAAAAAAACTAATTGCTGCTGTAAATAGAACCCTCTGGAGGTGTGCCCCCCCCCCCACTCAGGTAGGGGGAAACTGAGAATGAGGCCCAAGAGGGACCCACTTATAAAACCATTAAAATGCAAAGAGCCGATTGTTTTCAGAGACCTGCTCAAGTTCCACACTATTAAAAAGACAAATTGAGGAATGCATTTGCAAGTTTACTATCATTTCTTTGAACCAGCTACTCCAGAGGAGTACAGTGGTGGACCCCCCCCCAAAGTAAACTTTAGGATCAAGAGAAAGCTCTCAGCTGGGGCCATCCCCACTAAACCTTTCGCATCCCAAAGCCTGTACGACACCACAGCATGTTGTTTAACAAAGCTGAGTGCTTCAAAAGCACTAGAGCATGTGAAACTGAGGCAAGGGATGGAAAGAAAAATGGGAAAGGATGTCAGTGAAGTTTAAGTTACTGAGCAATCATCTTACAAATACGTTCAAAACTTCACTTCACTGTTCTCCAAGCATCACCATCTCCTCAACCCAAGAGGGGTGTGCCCACCTTCAGTGCATAATTCTTCAGTACTGCCCACACATCACTGCAATGCAGGACATTGGGCACAGTTCAACCCAGTTGCCTGGCTATCAATCCTGAAGCTTCTGAAGTTCCACTGGGCTCTGCTCTGAAGAATGCTGGGGGTTGTAGCTCAGCTCACTGCTCGCCCTCCTCATACCGCTTGCTGACACTTTCTTGCACAAGCACCATCAATGTTGACTTCGTAGAACATTCCAGTTGACTGTTTCTCTTCCAACATACCTACCTTCCCCAGAAGTTGCCTTTATTAGTGAAGCAGTTCCTCTTCTCTCCCCACCCCTTCTGCCCCTCCATCTAGCTGCCTTTGGGGAAGAAACAGGCTTGCTTCCACATCACATGCTCCCCACTTACCATTAAAAAGCTATGGCTTCACTAAGACGAATGTATTCAGCAGAATTCTGGATTCTATTTCCAGGGGCTAAACTGATTTGGATCTAATGAGAATTCCTTAAGACAACAACCCTGTTAAGCATGCAGCAAAAGCTATGAGCTTCCACTGGCCATGCATGGAGGGCTCTGCTTTATTAGTTCCTCTATGCTGTCTTTACGTTTACTGCCCCTTTTGTAAACCAAAGAGGCAAATGTAGCACAGAACTTTCGAGACACAAAGTGTATCTAACCCTTATGCCACTCTGGCCACAAGAGTGCGGGACACAACAGTTCATGTGCCATACAAAACTGATCAAATGCACTGCAGGCCTTTGGGCCACAGTCAGTCAGTCAGTCAGTCATTCACACTGAAAGGTGAAATTCAATTTCCCTCCTTGCTCTCTCTTGCCTCCTACAGCTGAAGTAATGCAATAGCAGTGTCACAAAGTAACAGCTGAACAACAGGGTAACAGATTCATTGCACTGTGGCATCTTCTTAAAAAATAAAGACATGCTTCTCCAACAGTATTTCTTATGACAAGTACTGCTCCCTAGATGACCGGCAGGTCCCCTACTATGCCAGAGGCTGCCTTTGCCCCGAGCAATCCATCCAGCACACAGTGCCATGGCAGCTATGGCAAAAAGGGCTTGTGGGTTTCCTTAAGATTCCTAGATGAAAATGCTTTACACTTAGTCATTATGGGCTACTCACAGGTTTGCTAGTCTACTTCTTGGTCACCATGCAGTCTTAAAAAGGTGAATAGCTGATCTCTTGAACACTGGTGACTGGAAATATACAGTAGTATAATCCCCTTGGATTGAGTTTTAACCCTTCCCACTTCATCAGCTAGGTTTTAAACCATTAGAGCTTTTAATTCCGTTTTAGCATCTTAAACCCTATCCTTTATCATTATTAGCTAGTCCTTTATTATGGCCCCTGGTTAGATCCCCTTCTCAAGTGTTGCAGTTTAAGATTGCTCCCTTTTCTCAGCCCTGGGCTGAGCCCCACCCCACCCCAGTCCACAAATAACAGTCTCCAAACAAAGAGACCTTTCCTTCTGCCAGTGAGATACTCTGTTTTTTGTTTAAATTGGTCACGGAGGCCCACCCTCCCCCCCAACTTTGTAAATTTCAGGAGATGAGGAGCTAAGTCATTTTATGTCCCACAATGCTCTTCCCGTCCTCCCTAACCCCCCATTAACAGGGATCTGCAACACTGGGTTGTGGACATTCCCAGTATCCCTCCCAGCGCACACAGGAACCTGAAGGAAGAAACAAAAAGATCAATATTAATAGACGAAAGGCTATAAAAACATTAAGAATCACTGACCAGACCCATGTGACACAGCAAGGCCCACCCACGTTGCTCTGACCGCCCATTCATACTTGTAACAGCCCAATGCAACCAAGACATTCTGCTTCTACTACATACAACAATACTAAGGCGCAGCCACAATTCATCAGCACAGCCCAAAATCAAACCACAGGATGGTGATGTATTCCCGTATCACTGTACATCAAATATTAATATGGTGATCAAGGTGTCTCCCCTGCCAGGAAAGTATTTGATATAGCGTTTTTATTAATTAAGTAATTGCATATAAGCATATAATGTAACTGCCCTCTTGGTATATACGTTATGTGTAGTAGAGTGTCTGTTTGTAGTGTGTAGATTTGTTTGTTGTAGATTTAAAAAAATTAATAAAAGTGTACCTATGGGTACTTAAAAAAATTAATATGGTAAAAGCAGAACCTTGCTTATCAGGATGAGAGAAATTAAGCTTGGGGAATTTGTATTAGGTGGTAGTAGTGCAATAACAGATCCTATAACAAACAGAATCCTCTCACAACATCTTCTGATCTAAGTGGAATGCATTAGAGTACACTTATGCTAGAGTGGACCTCATTCTTCTTGCAGTTTCTGCAGCTAGAGAACAAAAGCTGCATAATGTCATGATAGTATCAATAGGATCCATTTTCAAATGTTAAATTAAAATTATGGATCAATCCAGACCTTAAAATTGTGAAGAAATATTTTTATGGAAAGCTTGAACTGATAGGGGAATTTTTACATTGGACAAATTGATACCCGATGATGCGTTTTTGTCATTTTCTCAGCTGAGGTCTACATATGACGTCAACTTCTGCTGAATGGCAATATTTACAATAGTAACATCTGTTAATATCTAAATATGGCCCTGTAACATTAAGTGTCAGAGTGCCCTTTGCTCCTGGAAACTCTAATTGAATTGGTGCAGGAAAAAAACCCTACAATATTTGTACTGTATTAATTGTATCAATACTGTATTAATCCTGTTGTATTAATCCTATTAGATATGCAGAGTCTCAGGAATGGATGGAATAAGGAGCTAGATCACCCTGTGTTGCCAAAGCAATGAGATATGGCCTTAAAGTTTATACCTGCTCTCTCCATGGATCTTAAGTTGCAACTTATGCAGATGTTTAGAATACACTGGACATCTCAGTGATTGTTTAGTGAAGGACTGAGTAAAGGGTCTAATTGTTGGTGTTGTAACTCACAGGATGCATCCCTTAAACATATGCTTTGGTTGAGTTTAGTCATTCGATTTTCCTGGGAGGAAGTTATTACTTATATCAATTTTGTAATAGAATGTTCACTGATTTCAGGATGCCTATGTACTTTTAAACTACCTGCCCATCTCTTCGAGGCTAAGCGATGATTAATAAAAATGGACCCTACTACAGCTGAAAGACTTGTATGAAAACACTGGGGAGATAAGTGCCCACCTCCTGTATATCAATGTATTGAGGATCTTGGAACATTATCAGTATTTGAACGCATGACATATAGACAACAATTATGTATGAACTTATTTTTAGATGATTTATATTTATAGATCCTATAAAAGGTTTTCTATATTTTTACAAAACTTTTAATAAAAACTTCTGTGTTGTTCTACTCCCCACCCCCCATTTAGTTGCTGGATTTTGTGTTTTTCCCCTTGTTTTTGTTTTTTTAAAGAAAAAAAATCTTCTGATCTATTTTGTGGACAGTGGGATGATCCCTATACAAAAAGATGTACTACTTGATTTATGCACTCATTCTTACATCCTCTGCTCAAATGTTAGAGATGGAATATATACTTGTCAAACTTCTTCTGCAGTCACCACCCCATACTTCAATTCCTTCAACTCCAAGGACTCTACTTCATAATACTTCCTTCCTTCCTCTCTTGGTTGCAATGCTAGTTACATCCTGCATGCTCACCGAGTACGGTTTTGCTGCTTCATCTAGACCCCATAGAACGCAGCTAGCCTCTCCTTCAGAAGTGGAGGAAACTGCTCTGAGAACTGCTGCCAGTTGTCCTCCCCAACTTGATCTTTGAACCCATGAAGAATCTGAGAAGGAAGACGAAGAGACTGCATTATGTCTGCATTCCTCACAAAGCACACTTGTTCACACACAATGAACCTAGGATCCCTGGCTTTAGTCACTACACAAGGAAAGGGTACATTGTTCATTCAACAGTAACATACATAGGTGGCTCCAGGTTTGTTTTCAAGTATCAGTTGGATGCAAATGCAGCAGTTATATTTGCATATACGTGTTAAAAGCCAACATAGATTAACACACATCTGGTAACAATCTGAATTTGTAACCTATCACTGTGAAACATCCTGAATTAAAAAGGAGATAACTGGATGCAGGACTCCCACTGCGTGATACTTGGGGCTTTGAGAAACATGTTTTTCTGAAAAATAAGTTGTATTATATCAGCATCATTCTTCCTCTATGTCCTTACTATAGCTAAGGCTTGTACTACAACACTGGAAAGTCAACCTCCAGTATATCAATGGACTGAGGACCTTGACACATATAGCAGTTGCATATAGACTTATTTTTAAATATCTGGAAACTATTTACAAAAACATATGCGTAGATCTGCCACCACTGTTATATTTTTGTCTATCTACATCTTTTTTTAAAACTTTATTTAGTTGCTAGACTTGCCCCCCCTTGGGTTTTTGCTGTGTTTTTTTTTAATTAAAAAAATTACTTCCAGCATCATTTTTTCAAACTTATCTGTGCAGTCATTGCAGCTCAGAATTTTAAAATAAAAGCCAAGGGTTAAAATCATTAAATCTGTAGACAGGGCCAGTCACAATCAGCTTATAAACTATACTAACCATGCCCACTTTAAGGGCTATATTTAAACTGCATTAGAGCCAATGAATTCAACAAGTATCCCTACCTAGCAATCTGAGGGGAAAATGAAATGTGTCCAAGACAAATGTCTGACCAAACAAATCATGGGTAAGTGAAAGCCTATTTTTCAACCCATTCCTGAGCAAGCCTCATCCCATTGTAGTGCCATACCTTATAAAACATGTCTCTCAGGTCATCCTTTGGGTTCACCCAGGAAGCAACAGCATCACAGAAGAAAATAAAATCCTACAGAAGGATGAGAGTTCTTCAGAAAAAGCCGAACTACCAAAGTCTAAATTCACCAAAATTAAGAGATTTGCCATCCATTCTAAACCTGCGCAAGACCTGTGAATTGCACCTCAGGAATCTCACCTCTGTCAGTGGCAACTAACATTTATTTCAATGAGCTTTCATGAGGTGCAGCTCATTTTCTCAGATACATGAAGGGAAATCATACTGGGAACTGTTATAGGGAAGATTACATGAGAAGGGAGGAGGAGCTGAGGCAGAGAGGTTTGGTGTGAATCCTGTCACAAATCTTTCAAACATAAATTCTCATAATAAGGGGAAAAGGGAGGCACTGAGGTAGAATGGTTAGGTGTGAATCCATCCATAAATCAACAGAATTAGCAGTTACAACTGACAAATGACAACAGAGATCAGTGATTCAAACAGATAAGCAAAGTAATGAAGTAGGATAAACAGGGTTCGTAACTACTCAGGGAGAAATACACTAAACTGTAAATGAAAAGTTAATGGCTAATATTACAGTGTTACTGTCTGATGAAACATGTTAACAGCAAATTAAAATTTCTTAAAAAGTGAGTCCTGTAGAGCTATTGGAGATTGTAGAAATCCAAGTCTGCTTAAGGCAGGAAGACAAGCAGTGTTTAAAGTGTTGCCTGTGTGCACATGCGCATGTGTGTAAAACAATGACTTCCAAGACTTTTTGAGAATTCGCTACCAAATACACAGTACCCCCAGGAGATACCTGAACAACCCCACCAGGGTTTACTCCGATCATCATACAGATGCCACGGAAGGCCGAATCCTTCTCTTCATTATCACGTATGTTCCTCAGAGATGTACACCTGTGAGTCAGAGCAAACGCTTTTGTAACAATTGCATGATGAGGTGAGGTGGAGACAAAAGGAGAAAAGAATGCTGACCCTTGGCTTAGTCCTTCAAACCCATGCAATAATATAAACATGGAACAGAAGAACTAGTTTAGTGTTTTAATACAGACACATTACAACACATTTGATAATGAACAAAGGGATGAAGCTAGTATTACCATTTCTCTAGTATGTACTCTTCCACTGAATTTTTACTCGCTAGTATTCAATTAGAGCGTTTTTTGTTTAGATAATTAGAACGCAAGTCTCTCCCTCAACATACTTTTAGTCACTGACAAACCTCTACCCAAGTACTGAGCCATAACACAAGATCATTACTATACTTTAAGGCCTTTAATCAAAATACATATGCTTTGGGCTGGATCTCAGGTATTGCCAACCGAGTGAAGCCTGCAGACCAAGACTTCACCTTCCCTCTTGCTGCTGCACACCTTGCACTGAACACCTTCATATTCTGCTCCCCAGAGTCAAGGGATCCCCAGGAACAGTGTGGGCCCAAAGCAGAGGTCTGCAATGGGAAGGGGGAAATCTGCAGAAATTCCCCTCTCCTGCCAACAGAAGAGCCCATTAAACCTAATTGACTGCTGTTATACCAATGGAACAGAGCTTTAGGATCCAACCTTTGGTTCTAAAAACATTATCGATACACTATGAGGATATGTACCCACCTGAGGTGTTGTAAGGATGGAGGATGTGTGGGAAGAGTTCTGCTGCTTGCGACTACATTACAGAGACTAGCTAGTGATCCACCCTTACTAAGCAAGCCACACTGCACACAGCCATCACAACAGCAGTGACTGTGTTCCAGACTGCATTCTGCCATACACAATACATTGCAGTCTCCCTGCTTGGAAAAATGTGCTATCCTTCTAATAAAATAATAAATTTAAGGGACAGCATACAGAGACTTCTATTTATTAGGCAAACAACTGTACAGAAATGCATCAAGATTTCCCGTGAGCCTAAACGTAATACGTGCTAGTAGTTAAAAGGGTAGCACCAGTGTGCCATCCCAAAGTGAGGGCCAAGATTGTGCCTTCTGTTTCAGGACAACACTAACCAGGGTCTGATAAACTGCTGCAGCATCGGTGCCACCTCCTGAGGGCAGACGTAACCCAAGCGTCCAATCGTGATGGCTAGAAAAGGGGAAAGAAACATACCTGTCACAACTGCATGGAGAGCAGCCTTGTCAACTCTGTAGCATCAAGAGATAGGTAGGAAGGATGGATGTGGCCTTATGGCCACAGCAACTAGGCCACATTATACCAAATGCATAGTACCTCTATAACCATGTTAACTACACTGCGCACCGAAAACCAGAAAAGGCATCTAGAAAGCAAGTTAGCTCTTTGATCCAGGACAACAGAAACACTTAGGTTGATTTATGGAACTTGCTTACAGTTAACTTCAGAGTCAGCAAAGGAATAGCCCCAGAATCCTGAAATCATGTGCTCCAGCAGTAAAAAGGACAGATCCCCCTTTCCAAGTGAGATGCAGACAAGAAGACGCCCCAAATTCCCTTTACAATGACTATCGCTAAGGAATGTGAAAATACCTAAAGATAATGCAATTAGAGGAAAAAACTGGATGTCTCTTACCTGTGTTCTCCAGAAGTGTTTTGGGAGTATTTGGGCGGTTGATGATCTCCACAAGGTTATTCAGAACCATCTGGACATATGGCTGCATTTCAGCTCCTGGTGCGAAGAAATTAATCAGCTGAACCATGCATTTCTCTAGTAGTCTGAGTCCCAAACCTTGACTCTGCACCCATCAATACCCTGCTCTTTGCTCTGCATCTCTCATCCAAAAGAACTATCAAACTGAGTTCTCACTTGCTAGTTCATAGACTAATAGAAAGTCAAGACAAACATGCCAGCTTTGGGAATAAAATATGAAGCAACAGGTTACACACAAGAGGAAACAGGAGGCAACCATCAGAGGTCAAGTGTGGTGGGAAGGGATGAGTCATAGTAAAATCTTGGTAGACATCCTTAGCAAGATCCTATAGTGACACTTCAGACATGTAACAAGATCTAGTTTCAGCAGTACTACAAAAAAGCTTAGCAGAGCCTTGAAGAAACTCAAGAACCTTACCACTAGTAAGGTCATCACATAGAGATCAATCATTTAAGCAGACCAACCACTGCCTATTCTAACATGGTGAAGACATACAAAGAAGCAGAAGGGGGAACACAACTGCCAAGTGACAAGGTAGCACAAAGGTATCACTCATGTTACTGCAGGTCCCCAATACACTTACCCATCTGCATGCAGATTTCTCCAATAGCCCAAGTGGCATTATTGCACACAGAAATGAATTCTGGATTCAAGTTGGTCCCTAAGATGGGCATGAATTCAGCTAAAGGGGGACAGAGAGAACACTAGTCAGTTCTGGCTAAATGGCCAAGGCAAGGAAAAATGGAGCAAGATCTCATTATTAGAACTATCCCCAGATGAGACTTTAGTCTACAGAACTGGGTTCTGTGTAAAGGCTCAAAGACAGCAGGAACTTTCAACTATCTTAGACTACTACTACAGCTCTTGTTTTAAAGTGTGGCACTCACTCTGTTAAAAGGACTGACAGTCAACACTGTTTCTCAAAAGCTGCAGCAAAGTAAAGTGAAGAAAAAAAATCTGTTCTCTAGAATAGTTGCAATGCTACCAGTCTCCTGCAACATATCTTTGGATATTTGTCTAATTTTTACTCAAATTGCTGCAACTCACTTGTTTCTGGCCAACACCAGCTATGCAAAGCCACAATGGCAGGATGGCATCACAAAATCCCACACAATTGTAACAGTTGCTGCCAATACTGGTAACTCTGTGCCATTCCCATCAGCCCATACAGAGGCTCAGGCAATGGTTTTGATCCCATGGCAAATTTCTGTTAGCAGAAGGAGAGAGGGTTTTTTTAATTAATCCCACCTTACTGCTGCAGACATGACTTGCCCCCCTGTGCTGATTTGTGGGGTCCCTTCTCTCCCAGAAGCAGCCCTTCATGGAGCTTTTCCTATTCCAACAATGGAAATACCTTCTATTAGTAGAGATTTATCACAGGATCTAAGCCAGTATGAACACAGAGGACACCAATATATCACATCCAGAATCAAGGGACAATCTTAACAAGTACCTACCAATGCATGGCTTGACGTGCATGAAACAGGCTTTGGTAAGATCCCCTAGGAGTGCAAAAGAGCTCTGCCGAACCTCTGGCATGGTATCCTACACGAAGAGCAAGAAAGGTTAGAAGGACCAGTTCTGTCTGCACTCTGTTGAAGCATATCTCAAGCTTTGGTACTATGACCAATGTCCAATCTTGTAACAGGCGGAAGAGGAAAAGTAAATGTGGGCTATCCAGATGGAAAACCCACGTATAGTTCATTCTTATTCTTAAGGGACTGTAGTTCAGAGGCTTCATACTAAAGATTATCGTTTTGGTTAATATCATTATGAAGGTGCTTTGTACAGATACTGTGGAATCTGGCAATTAACGGGCACAGGCCTTATCACAGACAATGATAGCCTTAGCTATATGGTTAGAGTGCTGTGCTAAGATCCCATAGGTGTCAGTCCCCACTCTGCTGCAGATACTTGCTGGGTGATCACGGGCCAGTCTCACTCACACCGCCTAACCTACCTCACAGGGTTGCAGTGAGGATAAAATGAAGGAGAGGGGAATAACGTAAACCACTTTGGGTCCTCATTGGGGAGAGAGTCAGGGTATACATGAAATAAATGAATAATGTACCCCAAATAGCAAATGAACATAAGAACAACATAAGAAGAGCCCTGCTGGATCAGATCGGCAGTCCATCTCTTTCAGCATCCTGTCTCACAAAGTGACTAACCAGTTTCTCTGGAGGGCTAACAAAAGTGTATCAAGGCCAAGACCCTCCCTGTGAGATGTTGCCTCCTGGCACTGGGATTCACAGGCTAACTGCCCCTGAACATGTAGGTTCCCTTTGTGGGTTCCAGACCATTATGATCCGCAAGTACCAGACTTTAGCTTCACAATTCTTTCTAAACTCTTTGAAGTCTCTCATTGCTTCTGCAACAGAATTCCCAAGTCTACTTTATCCTCTTGTGCTTCCTCACTAACTAGTCCCATATTAAGTTCTGAATTTACTCCTGCCAATATGAACATAATAAATACCAAATAAATGAACTCTTCTTCTCTAAGTCTGTGATGGTAAACATGCTGTTCACCCCCTCCTGGAAGCATCTGACATTTCTGTAATCCTACACTAACTGTTTCTTTTGGGATTCTGTATTTTTCCCACCAAAAATCTTCTGCTGCCTAGCATATTTTTAGGCTTCAGTTTCCCCAAAGACACTTTCTGCTTCTAAAAGACAAACACTTTTTAGTTCTTACTTCCCCGGTTTTCTCACAACCACATCATATGCAATGGAGTTCAAAATTTTACCAACATCAACGCAGCATAGCCACAGGATCATTATCGCTGTTAAAGAACGATTACACCAAAACTTCACTTCTCATGGACTGTTTAAGAGTTCTGGACGCTTAATCTGGGCTTAAATGGACACTCTGCCCTTCAACTTTATCCCACCTGCATGCACTGGAAGAGCAGAGTCATGATGTTGCTCCGTGCCACAAGCTGCTCCACGTGACATCCTAGGCCTTCAGCCAAGCCACTCAGCAAGTCCAGAGCCACGATCATGAAGTCTTTATCAGGAGCCTCATATTGGTCTGGGTGCTGACTATACATCTGTAAATTGGGAGATGGAAAGCAATTTGCCTCCAAGAAATCACACACTTTCCAACACTACATAAAAATCCACCAAGCAATGGGATCTGATAGTCATGCAGTTAAAGCAACATATGAATCCACTTGGCCAAGGAACAGAGTCCCATGTGATAGTTATGTCACCCTTTGTTCCAATTTATTCCAGGTTGTGACTGTGCTCCCACATCTAATCCCCGGTGCTGGATACATCACATTCCCCATCATGACCACCCTGTCAATACCATGGCTTGAGCAAGGGTCTTCTGCACCAGAGTCACACAACGCTGGTAGACAGGTTCACAGTATGGCAGAAAGCCACTCTGGAGAGCAGTTGCTACAGATGACAAACACTGCAGAAAGAAAACAGATGGACTCATAAGACATGCATGGAGGACCATCTGGCTTACATTTTCTTGCATACGATAGAACCACTGAGTCCAATCCTGAAAGGAAAATGCTGTTGAGCACATTTCCTTTCAAGTAGCTAATGGTTTACCAGTGGCCAGACAGCAAGCTGGACAGGTGAGAATAGGACAACTTATATTTTTCAAAATGTACAAATGATTCTCACTTCATTCTCAATTATACAGATGTCACGATCCATTTTCTATTTCAGACACTGCCTTAGATTCAGACAAACACAGCCTTATAACTGCAGAGTTCAGCACTTTCCAAGTGAAAGAGCCCATTCAAGCCAATAATAGCTGACTACTCACTTCCAAGAGAGGAAAAAGATCCTTGTCCTCATCCTTCAACTCATTCCACTTCTGGATCAGTGGGGGCATCAGTTTCTGGATGTACTCCTGGGGGAGGGAAGACCATGGATACAACCGTTTTGATGTGAGCCACCTCCAGAACTACAAACTCAACCCAGAAACCTTCAGAACCACAATCATTCAACACACTGCTTCAGGATTCGAATGTCTTGAATTATCAATCATCACAGTTTCTGGGCTCAGAGCTAACAGGAGGCCGCAACAATACCCTGATCTCATTTACTCTTAATTGACAGCAAGAGGCAATTCTAAAATTCCACTTATATGGGTAATATTTACAGGAAACTTGTGAATGCTTCCAACCACCCTGACTCAGAAACCTGAGCATGATGGATAACCAAAATTTAGAGTAGAAGAAGCTGGGATATCTGTGGCCTGTCCCACTGAGTCTGACTCTAAAAGGGGTAGTTTCAAACAATACTATTAAAAAATCTGAAAAGATGAGAAACTATACAAGGTAAATATACTTGACAAGTAAAACTGCAAAGTGTGGCATGTTGTTATTTGTGAAAGGTTTTCTTAACCAGGGCAACACCAGTTTTTTTCTTGCTGGAACTCAACAACATAGTATGTCTCACCCTCTAGCCAATAGCTACCTCCAGTTGCAGGACATCAAGGCCATTTATCTCACAGGCACCCCTCACCCACAGCAATAACTGAAGTCCTGGTTTCAGGATGTTACAGCTCATGTCATAGTACCTTCCCTATTTTTGTAACTTTGATGCAGGAAATGATGCAGGAAATGACAGCAAGCACAAACTAATAGTTCTGGCAAGTCCACATAGGAAGCATGCCATATCAGGTAAACATTTGAAACTGCTTTATACCAAGTCAGATCATTAGTTCATTGACCTCAAATCCCACTAAGCTGTTGTCAGCCATTAATCTTATTCAGCTATGCTACTTAATCATTTAAACTGGAGACAGCAGCGACTGAACACAAGATCTTCTATGTGCAAACAAGGCACTTACCATCTGAACTGCAGTGCTTCATCATCAGCCTGACTCCCAGAAATCATGGCAAAAATTCTCCTGTTTCTTTTGTAAGCTGAGGAACAGTGAGCTTTAACACATTTTGGGACTTCCTTTCTCTAGAAATTTCACCTGTTGAGCCTTAGCTTCAAAAAACCTGGCTTGCTGGAGATTTCTGGCCTGTTTATGGATTACTCCCTTTAAATGGTCCAGCACCTGACAAAACAGCACAGTTTGGTGTCAAAAGAAAAAATGCACATACCGGCTGGTTGAGGTGGTGGCCAACAGAATCAGCCAGAGTGCCAATTGCATCATACAGGATCAGCAGGTTCTTGTGCTGGTATTTCCCAAAGGCAAAAACCAAAGTATCCAGGATGAAGCTGAGATAGGGGACCAGCTCAGTGCACGCCTCCTCCTCAAGGGTGGCAAATGCACTGAAATTAAAGTTGAAAGAGAACAAGCGTTGGCCAGTGACAAGATTAGAGAAGCACTAGAAACAGTAGGGGAGGAAGACTAAAATTCACAGCAACCTAGTCAAATTTTATATTCCAAAGAACTTTGGCGAGCAGTCTCATCATATAAGAGATTTATCTACAGCCTTCCAAGGTATTGCATTTGATCAGAAATATCAGGGCATTTCTCTGGATCAGACAGTATGAATACATGACCCATCATTGCAGAGATCAAACTTCAAGTTCCTCATCACATCCAGAGAAAACCTTGTGCATCTAATACGGCTGACCTATGGCTCAATGCCACTGATGATTATTTCACACACATCAGTTAAAGTGACACTTATGAACAAGTTACCTGCAAGCAGCCTCTTGCACTCTCTTGTTGCTATCAAGAATTCGCTTCAGCAGCTCGGTCATCAGAGGCTTGAGATACATATCTGGGGGCTGGCTCACAACCCAGTGGGCATAACGGCTCAGGGTCCAGCAGGCAATGGAACGCACTAGGGCCTTCTTGTCAGAGAGGCATTGGATCAGGTGCGGAATCAGCTCTGGGAGGTAGGGAACCATCCCTTGCATGCAGCCTAGAAAAGCAGAAACTTTCTTTACAAATCCACGGCTTTCCATTCTCTGCTTATGTAAGGTGACTGCTAGATGCAGAGACTGGTTAAGTCAAAAGCCGTAGCCTTACCTTCAGCAATGGCTCCTAGAACAAGAATCCCTGACTCCTTGATGACCCACTCGGGGTGGAAGAGCAGCCCCTTGAGCAGTGGGAGCAAGTGAGGGAGGAGCTCATCTCTGAAGACATTGGCTAAGACATCAAGGGCTGCAGCAGAACACTTTCCTGAAGGAAAGAAGTGGACTGTGTGTACAGTGCTCCCTGAGGACAGCATCTTTGAACCTTGACACTGACAACTTTAGGGGGGGGGGCATGCTACAAACACTTTTCAATATGAAACAATGTATCTGTGGATAAGCTAGGGGGTCCACCCGCCTTTCCAACTCCAATTAACTAGAACTGGGTAAAAAAATTACACAAGGGAACCAACTGGTTCTTCGGAGTCAAAAGAGCTACAAGAGAAAATAACATTTTCCCATGGTATGAAAAAGCACCTGGCTGGAGAAAACTTGGAACAGTTCCACATACATGCAGCCTGCACTTTCACTGGTCAGAGGATAACAGACAAGCTATGGGACCACCCCCGCTTCAGTCTTCTGTAACATGTTATATACCTTCCTACCCTGATTGGCTCTTAGTACCACATTTGAAACCCAGTCTCAAGAACCAAATACACACTCAGATTCCAATCAGACAATGTATCATCATCATCATCCTCGTCCTCTCCATCTTCATCATCCTGCAGCCGCTCCTCTTCATGCTGCAGAGTAACCGTGCGTGACTTGTGAAAACGAGGCTTGATATCCTGTTCACTGTCAGGGATGGCTTCATCTTCTTCTACATCACCCTGCAATTAAGGGGAGGGTTAATGTGTAAACCCATTAGACAGGGAGCCTCACCTGCCAACAAAATGACACCTTGCAAACCAGTATACTACTCCATTTATCCCTCCAGTACAAGTGCTGATCTGTGCCTCTGAACATACATAGTTAACTTTGCAGAAGCTAGATAAATACAAGAACCAAATAGGATGAGTGCCACCCCTCCCCATGACTTCACTTCCAGTCCTTTGACGGCCTTCCTACCCCCCCCCAAGCACAAACCCATCTGATACTATGAAGACTTTCCAAAAGCCACTCTGAATAACATTTTTAACCAGAATTGCCATAGGCTTCAAGTCTCTGAAGTAATAAATGAGAGAGCCTGTTAGGATAGCTTGCAGTCCCATCTTCTGCTCCCCAAATATAAGCACTACAAAAGCCTGCTTGGACCATTCAGACCATGCCTCTATGGATCAGACAGTATGAATACAACAAAACATCATTGTTGTCAGGATGAAGGTAATGCATCACTTCCACACAGGCATGAACTCTAATTACTTGGTTTGGTCACCCATGTCTACCACATCCCATCCTTCTTCCAGTGAACGCAGGGCGGCAAACAAAATTCTTCCCTCTTCATTTTATCCTTTAAGGTAAGCTAGGCTGAGATAAAAAGTAGTCCAAAGTCAGCCATTAAGTTTTGTAGCAGAGTTGTGATCTGGAACAATTTCTGTGGTCTTGGTCAAACATTTATTATATATTATGATACTACCCGTTTTTCCTTTTAAGAAACCATGCTGGATTCTAACACATCCTTAACTATTAGCTCTATGCAGCGGCACCACAGGGAGGGTCACCAGCTTTCCATGTCCATCAAGTGTTACCCAGGACTACCAAAAAAGCAGGCATTAGAACTCAACTGATCTGATCCATATACCTGAGCATCCTTCTTGTGAAGCAATACAGCTAGCATATGGGTGCAGTTTATCATGGAGTCTGCAGCAAAGAAGGTCCCCTACCAGCGACTGTATCTCCTCCATTATGTCCCCAGAAGAGCATTCCAAAGATAACAACTTACTGGTGATCCCTAGCCCCAAAGAGGTCCAAGCTGTCCCCACCAGGGCCAGGGCCTTTTCGGTTCTGGCTCCGAGCTGGTGGAACTCTCTGCCTAATACTGTCAGAGCCCTGTGAGATCGTATGCAGTTCTGCAGGGTCTGTAAGGCAGAGATGTTCCACCAGGCTTTTGGTTAGGGACAGTGATGGTTTTCCAACAAGGCTTTCCCCATCCCCCCCCTCCAAAAAGCCTAGGAAGAGACCAAACAGTCCAGAATGCCAGATTTTCAATTGTGTAACTGTTAGTGATGCCATCTTGAATCTGTTTTAAATTGGTTTTAATGTTATTAATTTTATTATATTTAAAGTTTGTATATTGTTCCTAAGGCTTATGCCCTACTGTATACTGCCCAGAGCAAATCAGGATAGGGCAATCAGTAAGTCCAATAAATAAGTAATAGCATGGATTCACTGGCAAGTGAGCCAGTGACCTATGGGAGCTTCCATCTCTGAAACCTCAGTAGAGAAGGACCATCCATAAAACACCAACCACAAAGAGATGGCCTAATGAACTGAAAGGCTTGGGATATGAGTGGTATGCTCACTTTTTGTGCTGCTGTAGTCTAGCCAGCCTTCCAGGATGACTCTCAAAGTAAAAGGTGTAGGAATGGAGAGTACAGTGTCCTAGCTGTGCCAATGGAAGACAATTGCTTGGCCTCCTCAGAATTAACCATACTATCATGTACTGTGTCAGTAACCAATAATGATGTAAGGAAAAATGAAGTTAAAGAGGTTGCAAGTATAATCCAATCCAGAAAAGGGGGATGGAGGTATAATTTAAGGGGGAAAGGGGCAACTAGTCACTCTAGTTTTCCCAAGCTGTTTGGATTATCAGAGACGTACCTTTAGCAATATGATGTCAATTTCAGAATACTTCATTCCATTCACCAAAATTGGAATCAACCTGTCAAGAGAAGGCAGAGGGGAAAAAAGATTCAGTAAATGGGACCTGAAGACAGAATTACACCTGTCATAGCTGGTGACAAAGCCTGTAATTACCAAACAGGAGCAAACACATGGGGATGGCATTTTAGTGACTGACACTCAAATACAAAGGCTCCCCACAGCAAACAAACACCTACACAATTATGGCCTCCATTGCCAGGCAAACCCAACAGTAAGCTTCAAACCATGTTCAAACACAAATGGCTACGGTCAGCACTGAAAGTCAAACATATTGCAGCTACTTTAGACTGAAAAGCAGGCAAATGTGGGCACACAATAATGGTGTGCAGCAACTGTGTAGCAGACCCAGGAACAGAACCTGCTCCTCATCTCCTCACCCCACCCCATTACATGACTGAGTATACTACATGATTCTGGCAGTTCCTTCTAAAAAAAAAACAGAACTGACGCAAGGAAAACTGAAGAACTTCAATTATACTGTCAAGATCATCCAGTTTGGCTCCTATTTTGAGGGCACTAGCACCTTCTTTAACTTTCCTAGAGAGGACTTCAACTACAGAGGCACCCATGATCTGCAATGGAACTAACCTAGGCAGCAAACCTAGGCAGTTTTTCCCTTCTTTTTCTTTTTGGTATAGAACTGCTTAAGGATGCAATGGTATAGCTCCATGGCCAACCATGCCTTCATCACACATACAACCATGCTGCCCTTTAGCTGGAAGCAAAGAAAACAGAAGCTTTAGAACCAGCATCTCAGAAGGAGGACAAAGTGATCTTACAGAAGGTGAGGTACTCACTGCACCAGATGTGAAGAGAGCACCTCCTTGCAGATGGGCTGCTCAGCCAGGGTCAGCCAGAATTCACATGCCTCCAATGCCACATTCTCATCACTGTCCTGGGTCCTCTGCAACATGTACTAGGGAAGAGACAGAAACAGAAACTGTGGCTCAGTCCCAGTCACTGCCTATAGTGTAGAATGTCAGAGTCAGCAGTATACCATCAGGACACAGTATTTGGGGTATGACCTGCCAGGTCAGCTTCAGAACTTCACAGCACAAAGCCTCCTAACAAGCAAGATGGCAGTGTAAAGCCACCCACTGGATCAGCAGTGACTAAGTACCATGGACTGCTGTCAGGAGATGAAACCATGCCAGCTCAGTTCCACTTTTAGTCTCCATTGCACTTATAGAATCCTAGAGGCTAAAGCAAAATGAAGACAGCCAGTACTGGCACAGAAGGCTTTCTATTACAAGGCTGCCAGGACAGAAGCAGGGAGCAGCAGCCAGAAAAACTCACTAGTGGTGTAAGCCAGCTGGTAAGCATGCTTATCCCCATTTTGCATCAGTGACCTCATGCCAACCTCCATTAGAGTTCTGGAAACACGTCAAGACAGGATTTTATGGGGACATGACTGGCAGAGGAAGGATGCTTACCTGAATGATACTATGCATGTGAGGGATCAATCGGTCAATCCGCACCTCAAGCAGCATCACCAGTGCTCGGCAAACGTTTTTTCGAACCTCAGGATCTTCATCTACTGCCAGGGCAAAAAGATGCTGCCGAGACCAGGAAAAATTAATATTCAATGTATAATAAAAGTATTTTAAAAAGATCCTTCAGACAAAATTCCCACCCTATCCATGCCCTCTAGTCAACTGGCCCAACCAAAGACTTTCATGCCACTGCTGATTCTAGAACTTGTTGTAATGATGCCAGCAAGATTTTTTTAAATACATAGTGAAGCATTGTGTTCATAGTTTTTTGTCTTCTCCATAAATATTTTTTTTTTGGCAAGCAGAAGTGCAGTGACAGCATCATGTATGATCTATAAGGGAAAGAATAGGGAAGCACAAAGCCAGCTATACAGGGCCTACAAGCTCTATCCTATAGACACCTGAGGTTTTCAAGAGAAAATACCTTTATGTTTTCAAGTGCAGAGGCAGCACAAGACAAGGACAGATGCATCAGTTAAGAGCCAAATACCTTAGTTCCTGTATTGGGCCCTGTATTTTCTAATGCTAACTCTGGCCATGGGTAGGCACTTACTGTGGTCAAAAGACACTGAGACAAAGAAAGCCAAAGACCTCCCAGTAGAATGATCATGCAGCGGAGTAAGAGCCCCAAGAGCTGACACACACTGAAATTACCAAAGGAGGAAGCAAAAGTTATGGCTACTTTGGGAAGGGAATAGCTGGCCTCACTTCACAGCTGAGAAGATTCTGTTAGCCTAAATGCAATAGCTTTTCCAACAGCATTCTGCGGAACCATGGGACACTCACAACGGGCAGTCCTCAGGAGTGACAGGAAATTCTCAGTAACACTGCTATCCACCCACTACAAATCTTCCCCAACTGTGTAGCTGCAGAAAAATGTGAAGGGTGCATTTAAGACATACACAGCTCACCCATGACAGTAATGAAGCTCAACAGGCCAGATCAATGACAAGGGTGAACTGGGAATATCTCCTGGAACATGATCCAGAACCTGATGCAACACAAGGTTTCCCATGGCAGTGTTTCCTCAACAAATAAGCTAATGTGGAAAGCCCTGGGCTTAGTTCACAGTGAGTCATGGGCTATGCGGCCTACACTCCCAACAGGAACCAAGGGCACAGGAACATCCACCTTACCTCAATGAAAGTGTCTATGTTATCCATCAGTGCTTGGGCCCTGTCCATGATGAACTGGTTAACACAGGCAATAGCATGGGACCTGACAAGGAAAGAGCACAAACAGCTGAAACAACTGTTGATTAAAGCTCATTACAGCTACAGCCCAATAATCATACAATACATTCTCTGGGTTCAATCACAGTTCCAGCTAATTCCAAGTTCACACTGGGGAGAAAAAGCTGAGCTTGACAAAACAGACTAAAGTTGCAATTCAGTTTCTGTGTATGCTACTGTGTTTCTGAGGGAGGAAAAAAACACAGTAATTTGTTTCCAAGTTTTGTACTTCACATCCCACAAAATAAGACAATAAATTAAGATTAAAAAGCTATTCCCCATGCAAGCACCATTCTGGTCCTAATCAGATCAAAATCTTTATGAGGGTTTTAAAAATCTTCATGTAATTAAAGACTGCTGGAACTCCAGGTTTTAGAAATTATACCTTTTTCAAAAGGTATGTCCCAAAGCATGCAAATTAAGAAGCAAGCTGAGTTATAACAGTTAACAAAATTCTATTAACACTAGAAGTTTTACACACATGAAACTAGCCAAGATTGCTAACTCTGATAGGGGAAGAAATAACTCAGTAATATTTCTTCAAAATCCTGATTGTTGAACTAGATAGAAGGCTATAAAACTCCTCCTTATCCAGGGTATAGCATAACACTCTACTCTTTCCAGAGAAATGGGAGGGGTAGGATGACTTGCTACTTCAGAGTTCTCATACAAAAGTTGATCTTAGCTCAACTCATGGAATACATAACAGGAATTGGTAGTGAAGAAGGCACAGACCTAATTTTGGGGCTGCAGTGCTTGAAAAACTGTAGGAACTTTGGGATCATGACATTAAGTGGCCGATTGAGAGCATCACTGTCCAAGAGCTCAGAGGAATCTTCGCAGATCTTCTGTAAGGCACCAAAAGCCCCCTAGAGAGCATGACAACAGTTAGCACCAAACATCCCAGATTAGGGAAACAGGCAAAGGGCATTCAAGCTTCATTTAAAAGCCTACCATCCTGGCCAAGCTAGGGTGCTCCAATTGTTCTGGCATGAGCTGCATTCATTCTGATAAGAGCTGTGCTGAAAGGAAGATTTCTAGGTGACAGGCTGCCAATTTGAAAGAACATGTTGTCCTCCTACCCTTAGCCAGACATCCCACGCAAAAGCCTGAGATGTGCCAACTAATTGCCTAAATAATTAGAGATGCTGGAAGAGAAGCAGCAACAGGTTTAAAGAGAAAACCCCATTAGAAGCACTCTGATCAACAGAAAGTGGGGAGCGCTCTATAGCTAAGGATGCTCTGAGACAGAGGTGTCAAACTCATTTGTTACAAGGGCCACATTTGACTTGTCACTTTGTCAGGCCGAGCCATGTGTGCCATAAAATGTAATGCCAGGTACCAGAGATAGAAACTGTATAAAGGACAGCAGCTGTTACGCTCCGAGCTGGTGTATCCTTACTGGGCTGGGAGGGGGGTGCAGACAAAAGCCCACTTGGGTGAAGAGGCAGTAGTGCAACACTGAACAGTGCAACACTGGACATGATGCTTGACTGCTGCAGACGAGGTTGTTCTGCCATGCTGAAGATACAATGGAGAGGCTCCGCCCACTCCCCCTCGTACCCCCTCCCTTGTACCAGCTGCTCACGAGTTGCATAAGAGCCCTGGATGGGCCGGTTCAGGCCCCCGGGCCTTATGTTTGACACCCCTGCTGTAAGAAATATGCAAACTGGAAAGAATTGGTTTTTGATACCTTGCTTTTCTCTACCTTTTAAAGCATCTCGAAGTGGCTTATAATCACCTTTCCTTCCTCTCCCCACAACAGACACCCTGTGAGGTAGATGGGGCTGAGAGAGCTCTGAGAGAGAACTGTGACTGGCCCAAGTTCACACCACCAGCTGCACGTGGAGGAGTGGGGAATCAAACCCGGTTCTCCCAGATTAGAGTCTGCTGCTCTTAAGCACTACATCATGCCAGATCTCAACTGAGGAATTTCAAACTGATAACATCAGATCAGTACTTTGATCTCCCACCTAGCACACAGCCCAAACAAACTCCTCTTTCACATGCCTCTTCCTATCAATCTAATTTTACCCAGGTTTCTTACAGTATAGAGGTTGAAGTGATGTCACTCCCAGTGAAACAGGAGTATTACTTGAATAGCACTGTGCACAGGACAAGTGTTTGCTGCTACAGGAATCAGCTACATTTTCATCAGGCTGGGGGAACAGCTATCTAGTTTTAAATGCCCATATTTAACCTTGCTCAGTGCAAGCCCATGCATATTTACTCAGAGGAAAATCTCATTTTGCCCAATAGGCCTTATGCCCAGATAAGCACAGGCCTGCAGCATTAGTCTTGTTAATAAACTAAAGTGCAGTGTGAAGTGATGTGTTACAGCCAGTGATGCTTGAGGAATCAAGAACACACCATCAAGTACCCACCACCACACTACATTCCCAAGAGATCTTTTCATGTGAAGTACTGTCAGCTCTAAACGAACAAGCTCATTGCTGGCTGCAAATATGCTTTCAGTTCAGGCTCTGCACTTTCCCACTCACCTCACAAGTGTTGTAGTCCTCAGAGTTGAGCAGGTTGCAGAGTTGGGGCAGAAGTTCTGGCCACATCTGCAGCTCTCCCTTAGATGCAATGGTGGTAATAAGGATTCCTGGCAGCAGGGGGAAAAAGCAATAAACTGTATTTTAATATTAGTCCACAAGCCAATTTAGGGCTCATAAGTTTATGCAGTGTAACTCTCTCTTAGCTTCAAATGTTAAAGGCAAGAAGTTTTAATAATCCAAACTGATGTGCCCTAATAGTGTTGTGTGGTGGCAGGAAAGGGACTAGAACCTGGGAGAGAGGCTCAAATCCCCACTCTACCATGGAAGCTCTGGAAGACCTTGGCCGAGTCACTCTCAGACTAACATAGGGCTGTTGCTGTAGGGATAAAACAGAAAAGAGGAAAATGTTGTAAGCTGCTTTGGGTCCCCAATGGGTGTAACTATCTAAAGCAGTGTATAACTATTTAAAGATTACAAGGCACTCCCATACACCCCTGCCAGTCATCTATTACACCACAAGTTGAAAACCTGCACACAGTATATGCAGAGAACTCTGAAATACATTCCATCCAGCACCCAGATTTCGCATGTTAAGTTCTGTAGACCTCTGAGAGAGGAATCCCACTTTGCCACTTAAATATATCTGCCACAACACAGATACCTTCAGTCAACACCATGATCTTTTCATATCTTGGTTCTACACATATCATGAACGTCGCCATTTAATACTTGCCAATGTACCAGTATATAGATAAAACAAATAGGCACTTACACACAGGCTTACAAGTTACATGGTGATCTGAACAAATCTGTTAAATCAGCTTTTTATTTATGAACAAGCGAGATCAACTGCTATTAGAAAAGGCCTCATTGGGAATGGAAATAGTCAAAGGATTAGTTTTAAGGTACAGCTATAATGCCACTCATCATGCCCACACTCTATAGGCTTTACTGAGTGGAAGAGTCATCTGTCTAACACTGCTCCAAAATACAAATCCAGCATTTTTTAAAAAATTAGATACAAACCCACTTACCCCATACCCTTCCTCTGACACTCACCAATGGTAGCTCTGATAAGAGAAGATGCATCTCCTATGTTGTTAAGACATTCTTGCTTAATGAACTCTGCAACAGGCTGCGGGAAACTCTGGTAATGAGCCTTCACATTGTTTTTCAGAATCAGACCACTCAGAGAACGTGTTGGCTCATCTGTTTAAAAAGATCATTTTTGGAGAAGAAACATACTTTGTAAGACCTGTCACGATTCACCCCAGGGAAGATACACAAACAGGGGAAGGGGGTGGAAGAGAAGAGGTAATGGTGACCTGACAAGGTAAGCTAATAAAAAACAGGACGACCAAGAGGGGTTACTCAGTTGTCATGAACTGAAGCACTTGTTTATATCCATATGCAGTTTTCTAACATGCTTTACTCATAATCCTCTCTCACAACCCTCTTATACAAGAATTTTAGATACCCCTTTGTTCACAGAAACCTGACTGGCATGTTGTACCTATTATAAGGTCTAGATATGAGGCATAGAACAGCATTTTACTTAGTCAAGGAGCTGAACAAGGTGTCAGGCCCTGGGCCATACAGTGACACAGAACAGCCAACTTTCATGACATTAGTCATCCAAGCACAGATTTTAGGAGGTTCAATCATGAAATCTGTTCATTCATGAAATCCAGTACATATTAATATGTGTTTATGTCCATTTACCAGATTTATTTCGAAGTACCTTTTGGGGGGGGAATAATCCTCATTTGCTCAATTCACCTCCACAAAAGACTTTAGATTGGACACACTTTCCAGTTACACTAATTTAGTAATGGCTGGTGGGCTACTAGAGCACAAGAAGAACTTAGGCAGCAGATTTTTGTACAATTTGCTCACATCAGAACCCACAGCAATATTGAGAACCACAGCTCTCACCTTAGCTTTTCACATTAGTCGGCAACAAAGTGGGCACAAACCCACAGGAAAAACAAATTCAGACAAACTAAATGCTGTTGCTTCCCTTTTTTGTGAAGTGCATTTTTGTAAAAAAAAAACCCAGAAGTAGTAAGAACAATTGCATGGGTCCAATGAATGAGCTGTGAAGCTGTGTTCGATTTTTACTAGGCAAGTCCTGTTGAAATAGACTGGAAGACTCAATTCAACAGGGCACTTCTTTGGGCAAATGCTGCATGCACCCCGAAAACAATAAAACAGCTAACTGGATTTCTTACTGAGTCAACTAACTATGGCAAGCTCTCTTATTTTACAGATTCTTTGTTCAAGAGAAGGCAAGTGCTTGGTTCTCAGCTAAACTAGTGAAGTTCTACAAAAAAACCCCAGAAAAGGTGGGGGGTTTTCCAAGTCACTTCAAACAGAGAAAGGCTTACTCAAAGTTGTAGCACACAAACAGTTGCAATTTTTAGATCATAAATAAAACACAGAAAACTGCTAGAGAACTTTGGTCATCGTGGTCAGATAGCACTTATCTTCAGGGTCCCTCTCTTGGCCATTTGTTCAATTTACAATGGGACTGCATTCCTTACCCTTGCACTGAGACCGTCCCCTCCCAAACTCAGCGACTGAACGTTAACCCTTGTGCTGTTCTCTTGAATATAACAGTATAACCTCCATTTTAGTGAGACTAAGATCAGAAGCAGTAGTCATCGAAAAAAACCTGCTTGACTGGCTTTCAATGACCCACTTTCCTCCATCCTTGGCCATCTATCTTTGGCTCTAAACACAACACACAGCTCTTCCACATAGAAAGATGGCAGCCAACTTCTAGTTCAGCACCAGAAGGATAGGGAACCTCTTCCAGTCCAATAAACTGAGCATTACGTACTGCTGCAACTCAAGTACAATGAATTATGCTGGCCTATACCAACCTATACTTTCGGTGGAAGAAGACTATAATGACAGTGTCACTGGGCAACAACTTTTTGTTCGAACATAGATTTGATTAATTCTATAGGGCCGAACTTGACCATGGGACAATCAAGCAGAAACACCCAAGCACACAAAATCCTTAAGCTTCCTTTGTAACATACCCTCAGATTTCAGTCGTGTCAAGACAAATATCAAGTAGTTATTGAAATCAGGAAACTGGTTGAGCTGTTTCAGTTTCTGCAACATTTGTTAAGAAGTTCTACCAGTGTCCTGCAAACATAAGTTTCCAAAACCATATCTATACGTAACCCTACCTAATTAGTTTTCAGAGGCTTTTTTCATACTTTTTGAAAATTAAGATGCTATCAGTAGAAACATTCCATTGGAAAAAATAATTACATAAACAAGTGAACAAGTCTAAATTTGATTACATGTGACATTCAAACAAGAAGCAATCTCTCTTGCTTAACATTTTCCATTGGATAAATCCTATTCTACTAAGAAACAAATGGATACTGAAGTTCTCTATTCATATGTAATCCACCTTACTAAACATGCTTACACACACTAACCTTATTCATCAACATGATGTTCCAAATCCTATGTAGCCAAACAATCCCTTATAAACAGTCCTTACAGCTATCGATATTTTCTTCCACCAAAAATGGTGGGCTTTTACTTATTTGGATAACCAACAATTAGACACTCAAGGGTCACAAAATACAGTATCATAGTATCCAAAACCAAGGCACTTTGTATCATAACCCCAGAAATATAATAGTGCCTGCTAGCAACATTTTGCAGTAGTTAATTATCCCACTAATAGTTTAGCCTTGATTACAGTATCATATGTAATGCAACACATCTTGGACACTGCTTCTGGGTCTTTGAAGTATGGCCAAGTGTTCAGAGATTTTCTTCTATATTGTCCCTAGCACTTTCTGTAGTAATCTTGACTATTCCAAGGATACATCTTGTACAATACGTTGAGTTGCTGTGTTCGGAGATTGGGAGTCTTTGAGTAACTGAAGTACTTGCTGGAGGCCTTGCTCATCTGGCTGCCAGTCCATGATGGGAAGCTGACTACCGGTAGAACAAAACAAAACAAAACATTTAGTAGCATGACAGAACTAATCATCAACTCATTGCCTTAGATTGAAACTCAAGACACTTCAAGATACACTCAAGCAGAACTATGTATGTTTTGTGCATGCCTGATCATCATTCTTGCAATCAAATATATGTAATCCAGACAAACAGCACACTGCTTTGTACTGGTCTGGCTAGGTTAAACTCAGGCAAACGGAAAAATATTTGAGGGCCGCAAAAGTCAGGTACATCACCAATGGACTCTAGAGAAACATCATATTACTTCAAGGAACTCTAAGTGGAGTTCACCATCACAATTCTGCAAGGTAGGTTAGGCTGAGAAAGAAACTTGCCCAAAGGCAGCTAGTGAACTGGACTTCCTGTGTTCAAATAAAACACCCAACTGCACTTTCCTTTTGTAGCAGCTTCAACATGAGCTTCACATATAGAAGTTGCTATATTCTCTTATGTATAAAGAACAATGGCTAAAGATAAATAAAGTATATATGGTCTAGCAGAATGTCTCACTTAAGAGAACATCTGCAAAAGCACGCTTCTTCATCAAAAGGCATTTAGAAACTGCTAGAATGCCAGAACAACCATTTGTGGCAGCACAGTCAAGATATATGCATGACTCATCACCGAGATATTCAGTGATTGGAGGAACTTGCATAAAGCTCCTATATAAATTGAGATACAATATGGGTAGAGGATTTAGCCTCCAATTTATAGAAATGGTTTGTTCAGACAGTAAAAAAGGATGAAGAGATTTCATTTGGCAGAGAGAGAAAGTTAACCAGCTTCCTTAATTTTACTACTTTTGGCAACTGAATTGAAGATACAGATTTAAAGTTCACAGTGTTAAGAAATACTGTACCATGAGGAAAAGGTTTTTCCAGGATTCTGTTTCAGACCTATGGGAAATATCCTTCTTCCCCAGTCCCCTTCCTAGCCTCTCTATTCACTCATGTGATGGCAAAGTCTATAGTCCTGTGATTAGTTGCTCCAGGTAAAGCAATCAACTACTAAAAGGACTTCTCTGACATATCATGAACACCAAATCTTAAATTGCTATTTGTTAGTAAACCACAGCGCAAATATGTTCCATCACAGGTTTGTTGTTTGGTACTCTATCTTTCCAGCTCCAGATGCATTATATTCGGCAAATGGGGAAATAATCTTTCCTCTACTGCCTTGTGGCTACACAATTACAACAGATATCTACTTAGCACCATATGTAAACAAACCATTCAGAGCAACACAGACCATGACTGTACCGTTTCCTGACTTTTGTTGTGTGCCCTTCTTTCTCTCTCTCTCTCTCTCTAAGTTTCTTTACTTTCCAAGCACAGGCATCTACTGTTTAGGAAATGACTAACACTTAAATGATGTCTGACCATTCTTTTTTAAAAATGTTTTTGCTCTTATTCACTTATTGCTCCCCGGGCCATGCTAAAGCTCATTCCTACTCCATGTGTTTTTGGGGTACATGAACTGTATTGAACCTAACACCAACAGCAAGGTTAACCTCTTATTCACTGAACATGTCCAAGCTATCTTATTTTACAATGGAGATTTGTAAGAATTAAGACACAGTTGGAGGCAGGCACACTACTTGCCTAGACACTCTACCCCAGGACACAGAATACTGCAACTAAAGGGGCATCTACGGGGCAGATCTTACTGTCTATCTTACCAGTGTCCTCTTGGGGGGGGTTAGCACTAAACGAATCCACAGCATATAAGTCTACCTGGAGCTACTAACTACGTTTGAACCTCCACATTGCAAGGCAGTATATCTGTGAATAACAAATATGGCGATCACAAAAAACGGGGCGGGGCTATCGCCTTGCATTGCAGGCTTCCGAGCATCCTAAAGGGCACCTGGCCACTCCCTTCTGAAAGTACGATGCTGGCCTAGAAGATCCAACAGAGCTGCTCCTAAGCTCCTCAAACATGTGCCGGCCCAGCTGTGCTACACGCCCCTGTTCCCGACTTCTGCAGCACCACCTCCCACACAGAAAGACATGGAAGCGACAGCTGCTGCGGGGAGGCCCCGCTTACCAGAACGGAAGCTCTCGTGCCCCTCCCCCAGGCCACGCACCGTCAGGCCCGCCGAAGAGCTCGTCCGCCGCCGGATACCGCCGCCCCCATCCACACCAGGCCAGGCCTCTCCCCCAGCATCACATCCCCCCCACCCCGGTCTTTCGTTTCCACGCAGTTTCGGCGGGCGAGTCAGCCTCTCCCTTGCTACCGGCCTTCTTCGCCTCTTCTCTGTTGTCCGATCCAATCACCGCCAACCAGGCAAACCCCGACCCGGCGCCTTACAGGATCCCCTTCGCCCAGTTCCCATTTAGGCCCAAGCTTACAGAGCCTCCCACCATCACCGCGCTCGCTCCCAGCCCCTCACAAGCACACGGACAATCCCGGCGCGGTACCTGCCCGGTTCCCGCGTGCCCAGATTCAGGCCGCGGCGTCAGCGACGAAGGAGGGAGGGGGCGCCAGCAGGAGATGAACGCAACACGCGGGCGATGAACTACGCGGGCCCCCGTCTTCACCGCTCACGTGACGGAGGAAAAAGAAAGGGAGAGCGCGCTCGCGCACGTTGGGGAAATGAGCACGACAGTGAACCACGTGATGCTGGGAAAGAGCCGTAGCCTTTCTTGTCAGCCCATAAGCGCTCGTGCAACTCAGCCCAGCGTGGCATCTGCCGGATTCCTACAAAGAGGGATAGGAGGAGCGGAATTCTCCCCACCCACTTTTCCGTGTGGTGGAGGTTATTTCCGGCGACGGAGCTGTACTGGGACGAAACCGGCTTTAAAGACACCAAATTTGGGGAGAGCACTCCTACTGTGGCATAGGTGCTCGCTAAGAAGGGATTTTTAGAAATTCAAAAGGGGGGAAATGTGCTCCCCCCCATTGCCGCTGCCAGGCAGCTGCCTCTCTGCACCCCAACTCCCTGATTGGTGAGCTGCAGAGCTCAGTGTTCTGAGGTGTAAAAAAAAAAAAGCCAACAGTTACAGGGGACTGCAGACAGCTAATGACTGGAGGAAATCGGGAGTGGCCAACAAGCACCTGTGAGGTTCAGTAATGCTGCTGGCCCAGCCTCTCCAATGACTTCCAACACACTTCCCCCTAGGGTATGAATGTTTATGGGGAGATAGTAAAGGACATTTTTAGGAGCCATTTCGATGGTGCCTTCCTCATGAACCTGAACAAATGTCCACCACATCACCACTCCCTCACACCAACTCCCCCCACACCTCTCACCTCTTACTGCTCCCAAAAAATCTCCTGGCAAACATCAAGCCAGATACAGCAACGCTACGAGGAGGCAATTTAGGAATAAGGCAAAGACATTTGCACATAGGACTCCTGTGGCGCACTGAGCTGCGCAGGCCAAGTACCAGCGAGATCACCCTGAGGTGCTCAGAACCACACAGTCTCCATATGAGCAACACAATCCAGGAACACAAGTCGAGAGGCCATCACTTTCGTGGAAGGTGGCAGGAGTAGACTTAACAGACGACTGCTTTTTAAATGGACATGCCTATGTGGCCTGCTCCAGAGTGAGCTCATCAAGCAGCCTGGTGATCCTAGCACCTGAGGGCAGAACCACCGATATGGTCTAGAGAGAGGTCCTTCAGTAGAGAAAAAAAGTACATATGTCTCACTTCATTTCTTACACTACAATCTTCTCCATTAGAATTCCTACAACAAATGTCACATTTCAAATTTCACATCATCAGTATTATAACTGGATTTATGGAACTTAAGTACCGTAGCGAAGCACGGGTAGCAGGCTAGTTAACCACAGTAGGACTTTTGAGTAGTCGTGCATAAGGTTAGGCTGTGAATCTCCTCCACAGAACAGAATGTTGGGATATGAAAACCAAC